TCTTGTGTCTGGTTTGTCTTTTTTTCCCTCGATGCAAAAGAAGAGCCACTTTAAGAATTAATTAAAAGGGAGAGTATAATGATTCTGCCATGGTAAAGTTTAGAGCAGCTTACAGAGAGAAGAGAAGAGCTTACCAGGGCTTGTCCTTCCCTGAAGGAGCAGTGGAAAGAGCTCTCCAACGAGGACCTGGCCCCCCCACCTGAGCACACCCCCCCACCTCCCCGGCCACCCAAGCGAACCTCGGAAATGCACAACGGGAGGATGCACGAACACACGGAGTCCTTTCCCAAACACCCAGGAGCAGAGGAGGAGATCACCCGCTCAGTGAGCACCGTGGAGGAGACGGTCCCAGACGGCAGAGCTCGTTCACCTGCACCGCTGAGCACAGACAGGTAATTCAGGGCTTCTCCCGCTGTGAAGTGTCCCGGGATCTCTGTCCACGGGGTGAGTGTGTGTGGAGGACATTGGCACATAAAACAGCATTTCATACAGAAGGGCCTGAGCAGATCGAGGCAGTGTAAGAGTAGGAATAGTAGTTCCAAGCCAAAATTCTCTCAGTCGAGGTCTCACACTCATGTTCATTTAACTTCCCCGTGGGCTGGGGCCTCTTCTGGCACCCTGTTAAGAAGTGACAGGTGATGGGTGTGTGGCTCTGGGAGCTGGAGATCAGTGAGAGGTTCCCATAGTCTTAAATTCACAGAGCTGGGAGGCTGCAACCAGGAGCTGAACATGGTGTCTCCCTCCAAGTTCTGCTGCAGGCAAGGAGATAAAATGCCCTGCCCAAAAGAAACAATGTTTTGATCTGGATTTTTCTTAATTCATTGGGGAGATTCTGAAAGGAAAAATACTCAAATTCCGAACAGTATTTGCTAAAAAGAAAGGAAGTCTTGGAAACAGGAACACACACAAGTGGAGGCTTAGCGGTGAAAGAAGGAAGTGTTGCACTGGTAGCATCTCCCTCTGTCTTTCTTTGGTGACAGTATAGTTCTGTTAGCAGAACATTTGCCTGTGGTGTGAGATGCCTGGTGATGATTTCCACACCCACTGAAGGTATGGATTTAAAACTGGTGTCTTGTGTCTTCTCATTAGTGGGATAAATCTGAATTTCTCAGTGAATAAATAATTTCTCAGTTTAGTGTAAATGAACATCAGACATGTCCAGCTCCAGAGAGGTCAGATTGATTTTATTTAGTGTAGTCCCTTGTCTGAGGATGGAGCTGAATCCTCCTCTGGAACTGCCTGTCTTCATTGGTTGGAGGCGCTTGGACTGGACATCTGACTTTCCCCTTACTGGAGTCCAGTCCTCCACTGTGCCAGGGTTCAGGAGGGCTCCATGGCAAATCCAGTGAGGAATATTTGTGTCCATCCAGTACTGAATATTGATTTCTTTGTCCTTAAGCACTAGTCAAGACACTGAAATTCGGAGGAGAACTGTTGGTGAAAACCCGCGTCTCTCACCCCACAAAGAGGAGTCCAAGTCGGAGAACTCGGACGAGGAGGATGAGAACATGGTGACAACGTGGAAGCCATTTCTAGTGAACATCTGCATGTTCACTTTCCTCACAGCAGGAGCTTATCTCTGCTACAGGGTGTGTTTCCACTGATGGCTGTTCCAGCAGGATGGACCCGCGGGGAACACGCCCGGTCGGGGTTTGTGGGAGCTCCTGTGAGGGGGAGCAGTCCAGGCAGGGGAGCCTTGTCTCAGAGCAGGTAGATTTAGTGTGAAAGGCCAGAACTTTGGGTAGGGCTTAAAGAGAGAATTGATGCACTAGGGTTTTATCCAGCCCTGTGGTCCCAAGAACATAATATTCTAATCTCAGGGCCTTAAAATATTCAGGAGTAAGCAGAGAAAATGCCAAATAGTTGGTTTCCTTTTTTTTTTTTTTTGTTTTGTTTTGTTTTGATTTTTTTTAACTAAATAATAGAATTACAACACATTGTTGTTTTTAGCCTTTTTTAAAAAGCCAGTTCATTTTCTTTTGTTTAAGAAAAAGTAGGCACAAGTGAAACTTGCTTGTACTCTCCAAGTGTTGTAACCAAATACATGACTTACATTGACGAGTTCCCAAAAAAGAAAAAGAAACCCACATACCTGAAGAATGTAAACCTTTGGAAGGGGAGGGATGTTTGTGGTTGGTTTTTTGTTTCTTTTTTTTTTTTTTTAAACTTGCTTCATCATTAAAGACTGAGTTGTGGGCAGTGCCTGTGGTATTGATATATTTAATCTTGGCATAACTGTTCTTAAAGAGCTGATTGTTTTACTTGTGTTGATAGAACCAGGCTTCTGCATTTGCTCAGGGTATCCCAACACGTCCAGCTCTTGGATTTTTTCCTTTTTTTTTTTTCCTTTACTAAGTGTATCTCCTCATTGACTTTTGTTGCACTCTACTTGCACATACGGCTCTTTACATTGCACCATCCTTTCTAAAGCTGTTTTTAGTTTTATATTCTGGGTTAGGAGAGATTGAGGGGAGAGAGAGAAACAGGAAGGGAAATTCAACCAAACCACGTCCACCAGCACTCTGCCATGGAAGGACCAGTTCTTAAACCTCATCATTTGGAATGTAAAATGCAGTTTCACTCTCCGTGTGCTCCGTCAGGACTAGCTGTTGCTTCCAGCCAGGGGAGAGGCCCCAGGGGTGCTGCAGGCACGGGGCAGGAGAGCATTTGGTAAATCCAGAGCAATCCAGGCTGTGGCAGCTTCCTTGAGACACAGACAGTTCACCAGGAGCCGGGTTGGTCTGTGAACATGTCGGTTTATGATGCAAGTGTTTGTGTGTTCTGCTTTGTGTAAAGCCAAGATTAAAGTCCTGGCTCTAGGCGGGGGTCCTGCAGCCAGGCTGGGCCCAGCACTGGCCCTGCTGTGGGCCTGGCCCAGGGCTCCAGGGTGTAAAGTGCTTGTAAATAAGGATTTGGGGGTGTGGGTAGGACTGGGACTGGAAGGCAGCATTGCACTAGGCAGCCAATGCTGTTCCTCTCGGTAGTACCAAATGATTAATAGTTTAAACAATAATAGCAAAGATTTCTTTGCTTGTGTCGTGGAGCAGAGACCAGGAGCAAACTCACTGCTGAGAGCTGTGGAGACTGAGCTGACCCAGGACAGCTGGTCTGCAGCACTGTTACTGATCTGCTCTTTTCATTTCTCAAGTCTCTGTAGATTTAGAGCACTTAAGCACCCCCTCAGTGCAGGCCTCGCTGTGGAGGAGCCCAGGGGAGCTCTCTCCACTCAGTATTTATTTTTGCCAAGCTGGCTGTAGGTGTAGCTCTTCCTTCAGTGGGTGAGTAGGTGAAGGGGGTCGGGGGGGGTTGGAGTTATTTCTATTTTGTGTTTTGTTAAGCTTGCATCAAGGGCTTCTCAAGAGTACAATAATAAATCCTCAGGTAGTACTGGGAATCAATCCTTTTACCTGTGAGACTGTTGGTCAGACCAGTACTTGAAAGGAGGAATGTTGTAATCAGTCAATATTTAGTTATATTATTGGAAACAGGAAAAATGAGTATAGAAAAATGGTAATATATAATGGCTCATCTGTGTATTTAAGATACATTATGTGATTGCTTTGTCCCCACTGTTCTCTCCAGCACGGGCAGGTCCTGCCCTGAGGCACCATTTGTACCCCTTTGTATTAAACTGCATGTGAAGTCTCCGGTGTCCCGATGAAACACCACGTGCTTGAAAGGTGAAAGAACTTATATTTCTGCTTCCTGATGTGCCCAAATGATATTTGCATGACCTGATCCTTAGTGGCTGTGGTTCAGAGGGTGTTGCTGAAAGTCTCCTCGTTCAGCGATGGCCTGTTGGGTGTTTATCAGATAATATGTACTCGCCTAATCCTTGGCATGACTTCCCGTGGGATCCCGTGTGCCCGGTGGTAGCATGTTCCTTTCAGCTGAGTGAGTGTAGTACAGACATTCCAGAGTTTAGTCAGCCCTATCCACACCTCCCCTGGCCTGGGGGCAGCAGGGGCACCTTTGGAAAGACACGAACCAAACCCCCCCCCACTGCACATGTTCCCAAGAGAGAATATTTTAAGGTTTTGGTATGGCAGGAAAACAAAGCCTCCTTCCTTTGATTCCAGATTAATTCAATTGCAAATGATTCTACCAAGAGAGAGTTCCTGCAGGTTGTAGAGAAGCTCTGAGCATCCCCCTTTCCACCTGTTCCTTCCCTCTGTTCCAGGTCCAGCTCTTCCCCTGTCCCAGGACACAAAGTGACTGCTCCCCAGGCCCCTGAGGTGTGGATAAGGCTTGGAATACTGAACTGTTCCCATTTTGTTTTGCTGTCCTGTACTGTCTGTGGTAGTTGGGGGGTGTAAATACCGTGGGGGTGTTGGGTAACCTGTTCTTGGAAATGGACAAACATCCATGTTAGACTCGGTAGGACGTTAGTGAGCTGCTCTGCTATCTGCCTTAAGCAAATATTTACTCATCAGGTCTTTCTTTTTTTACAGATTGCCATAGAATAAACTTTTATAAAAAAAAAAAATTTAAAAACTCAACAAAAAAGCTGAATGTTTTGGTATAATACAGTTTCAGGTATCTTGTCTTTTGTGTAAGCCGCTGCTGGGCCTCCCAGGTTAGAGTACAACTGTACAGTTTTTCAGTCTCCCATACAAGTTTTCAGTTCTCATTTTAGTTGTAACAATAAAATTCTTTTTTTAAAGAACTTTGATGGGTCTCTTATTGCTTTGGGGCTGGAGCCACAGGCTCCTGATTGACCCACACGCACAGGGGGGCAGGAGGGGAACGTTGGGGGGTTGTAGAGGAAAGTGTGATTTAAATGTTATTGTAAGAACTTTCTGTGGGCAGAGTAAAAGAGATGAGGCACCTGCATCTCTCCCTGACCCCTCCAGCTCCCTGCTCTGGTCTTTCACATGAATCAGGTCAATTTGAACTCCAGGGGTCCAAGCCTGACCTGTCCCAGGCAGGACAGGGGTCAAGCCCAGTGCCCTGTACCTGTCCCCAGGCCTGCCAGCACAGCACCACAAAACACTCACAGGAACTTGGCTCAATGGTTTATTAGAACTTCAGAAAACAGTATGAAATCCAACAAATAAATACTGAATAGAAACGTTTTATACACATATATATACATATATAAAAATATGTACACACAAGCCCAACCCTTTCAAGTATTGTACCTGAGGCCAGGCTTCTCTCCACGGCCACCCTGCCCTGCCAGCCAGGGGCTGAGGAAGGGCCTGACACCAGGTGGATGATTATGAGAAGTCTTGATCTATGACTAAACTCAAAATTTAAAACCAACCCAAACCTGTCCCTCCCTCAGTCAGACCTGCACCTGGCAAACCCAACACAGACCCTGCTGCTGAGCACACACACTCCTCCCACACGCTGTCTGTCCCTGCTGGAACGTGGCCTAAGCTGCAACCAGGCTGAAGACTTTGGAAGTAACAAGTTTTCCTTCTGCAACTAAATTGTCCAGGCAAAAGAACCCACTGAGCAATGCTGCTGGATCTGTTCTGCTAGTTGGTGTAAAAGGCTGTTGTCTGCTGCCTTCCAGAGGGACTGTTGGAGAGTGATTCATTTCTCCCTCGGGAAATGCCAAATTAATAAAACACTTCATGGGAAAATAAATCATATTGGATTTACAGTTTGAGCAGGGGCAGCTAATTCCAGCAAGATGGAGATTTTAACTCCAGCGACAACCTGGTGCCACATTCCAAGAGATCCCAGCTTTCATTCATCCAGGCACTTGGTATTTGATCACGTGCTGAGAGATGGTGAGAAAATGTGTTCCAGCCTGAATTGTGGAGACTGCAAACTGTGCCCTTTGGAAATGAGCCTGTCCTGGGGCAGGATGCAGCACAGACAGCAGGGATGACCAAAGCCATCCCTCAGGTCCCCGTGTGGCCGTGAGGACAGGGGGATGCAGCTCCTCCCGTTGCACTCCTAAAACACTGTGATTTCAATCTCGGCCTCGTGCTGGGCAGTTTCCCTCAGTTCACAGCAGATCCTGTCCATTTTCTCGAAGGCTTGGCGGCCCTTTTCCCCTGTGGAGAAAGGAAACAGCCTGTGCTGAGGGAGAGACACAAACGCCTGAGAAATGGGATCCTCTGGAAACACTTCCATTGTGACCTTGTTTGGAACTAACAAGGACTCCTAATAGTGGCAAGCACGTCCCTAAGGGAACAGTTTTCCAAAACCTGCTGGAAGCCACCATGGAAAATCAGGCCTCCTGTCAATGCTTCCATGTGAGTAACAGTTTGGAGCATCACAGCTGGAAAACTTGCCATGCACGTGAGCCTGAGTGTTTCTGGGAAGCAAGTCTGGAGATCCCCAGGACTAAACATGGATCAAAGGGGGTTTGGAAAGAATAGAATAGGGAAACAGTTCTCCAGCATCACTTCCAGCATCTTTGGTTCTTATCTGCCACCTTTTCAAAAGGTTCAGTGGTTCCTAAAGCACTTTATCCTGGAGAATTTCCTTGGTCTGGTTCTATAAACCTCAACAGGAGGGCCCTTGGTTGGTACCTGTGATATAAAGTTTGTCTCCATGGTATGAAACAGCTGTTCATGAGGGATTTCCACTGTCTTGGATGTGTTCAGGCTGCACCTGAGGCCTCTCCTGGTCCTGCACTATTTCACATCACTTTTTCAGACTGTTTGAAAGCCTTACCAAAGGACAGCGTTGTTTCCCTGGCTGCATTCCTGACTTCCTCTGTCTCAGACTGGCACAGGTGGGCAACCTGCTCAATGCTCTCCACAGCCTGTGGGAGAAAGGAAACATTGGCCTCAGCAGCTCCTCAGCAGTTTGGTGGATGTTTTTCACAAGGCAAACAGACACACAAACTCCCATCTCTTCTTGAACCTGAATTCTACCAGGACCTTTCTCTTCTCCCCCAGCACATCAGCTTGCAGTTACATTTCCTGACATATTCTCACCTCTCTCACCTCCTTCTCTCCTGTCTTAGGGTCTTAGAAAGTGTAAAAGTCGCAGGGTACAGGTCCCTGCTGCAGGACCATTAAATCAGCATCACCCACCAGGACGTCCCTGAAAGGGTTAATCCCAGTTGTTGCTTTGCAAATTGAATTTAAGAATAAGACTGATTTCTTGTTGTGTGACTGGATATCACAGGAGTTCAAACACATCCCCTGTGTCCTTGTGCTGTGCCTGGCACATCAAACAAGATGCCCACAGCTCCCTCTCCTGCTGCCTTTGGAACAACGGCATTAATGGTTTGGAACTTTGGCAGCCAAGGAATTCGGGAATTCCAAACAGCAGAAAGCTGCTAAAGTGACCCTACCAGCTTTAAAATCCCGGCCAGACACACTTCTGCATCCATGACTGTGGCCAGATGTGCCCAGCAGAGCTGTGAACACTTACCCTGAGGTTCTTAAGAGCCAAACATGCAGCTTGCTGAAGTCTTGCATCACAGTCAGATAAAGCATCAGTGTAAAACAACACAGCCTGAATGGAAAAAGGAAAGTAAAAGGAACACCTTGAGTGTTAATCAAACAACCAAAGCAGACTGACAGGAGCAGCTCTGCCCATCTGAAAGTCAAAAACAGGACAGAGACAAATCACCCGAGCACTGCTGCGGTTTAGGGGCCAGTTCACAGCTAAGCCAAGGGCAGAGGGAGCAGTGCCATTCCGGGCTGAAACCACCCCATGGATCTCAGCAGCCCGGCAAGGCCAGGGGAGCTGCAGCGCTTACCTTGGCCCTGAGGCTCCTGCTGGCGGCGGCGCGGCACAGGCAGGACGTGGCCGCTTTGCTCACTCGGTGGTTCTCGTCCAGCTGCAGCTCCCCGAGCAGCCGCAGCGTCTGCGGGAGCGGCTGCAGCTTGTTCAGCCGCTTCCCCTTCAGCTTCTTCAGCGTCTTCAGCCTCCCGGGGCACTGCAGCTCCTCGATCAGCATCACTGCGAGGGAAGTGCTCGGCTTCACTCACCCGCAAACCAAGACATTTGCAAGGAACTCCTCCCTGGCCCGCTCCCCTTTAGCCACAAGCAGTTATTCCCAGGGCCGGCGAGGAAGCCAAGCGTGGCAGGAAGCAAACCGGGACAGCTGCCCCTTTGCCCATCCTGTCTTCTCTCCCTGCCATTGTTCCATTTCCTCCCGTGCCCAGGCTGGGACGGCAGAGCAGCCGATCTGTGCCAGCCCCGGGTGCATCCAGGACAACACCCAGAGCAGGTCCCACAGCCCTGGGCATCGGGACAAGAGCCCAGCCCACAACAAGGAACAGGATCAAGCAAAATGCAAACAGCCCTGGAAGATCTCACGGTACAGGACAAAAAAACCCCTCTCTCTTTTAAAAACTAAGAAATCAGGCACTGGATTTACCCTTTCAATTTGAAGAATATTCCAGGTCTTTTTCACTGACTAGGAATGCTCAAGTTTTAGCCCCCCTCCAGATGAGTCATCTGCATCAACATAAGCCTAAAGATGCAGCCAATATAAAGACTATTTTTAAAATAACTCTTTTCTAACACAGAGTAGGTTTTCAAGTACTTTCACATGTTGGACAAGACTCCAGTGAGGCTCTGGCTACCTCAGGCTAGAAAATGCACGTTAGTAACCTCTGCAATTTTATTGCTATTTTCTGTGTCTGATTCCAGCTGCAATAGACACCCAAAGCCCCAGACTTTACTCAGTCCTTGGATCCAGCTGTAGATTCCTCTTGACTTTGCTTCTGCTTTAACTTCAGAATATCCCAGAACCCACTTTTCAGGGCACTTAAGATAAACCCATCCTTCACACCTGGTTTGTTTGTACATAGCCAGATATGGGAGTCAAGCACATCTTTCCTGTTCTGATTAAAATTACATGGTCATAAGGGCAATTAAAATGGAAGCAAGTTGTCAGTGCACTGGTTGGGGTGTTTCCTGCTCTGGAGTTGTATCTTGAGTGGGAACCTGGAGGGTAGCCCTAAAGGAGGAGCCAAGCACTGCCATTACCTTCCTTGGCAAGTTTTCCCAAATGTTTCTCCAGGCTGGCAATGTGGTGCTTGTCCAGGTAGCTATAAAACTGGAATAAAGTAACTGGTTCTGTTTGGAGGTTTGGAGTGGGGAGCAACCCATCACAGGTGAGGATCTGCTCCAGCAGCCTCTGCAGCACTGCAAGAAGGAACACGGACAAGGACAAATGAGAAAACAGCAGGTTAGTTTGTGGGAAGCTGCTGAGAACAAGCAAGAGGTTTAGGGGTTTCTTAAATGCACAGGGACAATCTTTAGCACTGCAGCCAAATGCAGTCTGAGTGGCCTTGTGCTCCAGTGGTACCTGCTTCCAGCTGCCTGGGGTACTTTTCCTTCACTCTGAGCATCATCGTGTATTTCAGGGCATGACGGAACCTTTCTGCTGAAGCCAACAAGATGCTGCCAGGCTCTGCAAGGTCACTCCACATCTTCAGATAGTGCTTCTTCTTCTTAGTCTTCTGAATAACTGAAACCCCACATTTGAAGAAGTCCGTGAGCTCCAGCAGATTTTGGATTTTACATGAGAAATTAGGCACCAGATGGATTATCTAGACATGGGGCAGCGTTAACTTGTATTTGTGCTAGAGATGGTTTTGTTCAAAATGGGGCATTTCCTGCCAAAATGCTAAAACCTGCAAGCACTGATCTCACCAAGCCTAGGCTGAGCTCCTAAACTGTCATCAGCAGCTCTTCTGCCCCTTATTGTTCATTTTGTCCTGGCATGTGAGTCCAGCTCCAGAAGAACTTCCTGTGAGTTTAACTGGCTGCCCTTCTATCACAGCCAAAGATGTGCCACTGCCAGGTTTTAGAGATCCTGCCTCGTGTTCCTTCCTCGGGGCTCTCTCTTATCAAACACTTCACTTGAAGTCAACCTGTGGTTTCTCACTACCCTTTGGACCCTTCATGCCTTGCTCTTCCCTACAGAGAGACTGAACTGCATTTCACACTCCCACACTTCCCTGTCACACTGTACCAAAGGCCCTTTGGAGCTCTGCTCTGGGGAACAGGTTATTCTCACATCCTCCAGGATAAAATCTGTCAGCAAATGCTTCCAACTAAAATTTGCATTCTTGATGCTGTATTTACCAAGGTGAGAACAAAAGCCTTCCAGGCCTCCCATTGTGCTTCATCCTTTTGTCAACAGTGTATAGAGGAGTTTAGTATTGGGAAGGCCTGAGGTGGGAAGAATTGCCCAACTCTTCTTGCAGATGGGCACAGAATTTGGGCTGTTTGCTTACCAAGTAAAAGGACAGGTAAAAGAGAATTTTACTAAGGCTGCTCTGCTGTTCTTTGACTGCAAACTCCATCATCTACAACATCCCTGTTTAAAACATACCAGTTCAGCTACTCTTCGAGACAAATTTCTCCAAATCTTTTCCTTCCTTGCAGAAAAATCCAAAGCAAACCATGAGCCCTGTTTTCTCTAAGAATCCAGATATAAGAGCTGGTTTAATTATGTGACTGTTTGCAAGGAATTTAGAATGAAACACTGATGTGTCTGGGGAAGCTGGAGCGGGCACATCAGGGGTGCACCTCTCCCATCTCTGGCATGCCTTGGAAATAATGCAGCTACTCACTTTCTTCAACAGACATATCCAGGACATCCCCCAGCACTCGAGTCTGCTCCGATACTTCTTCCAAAATGCTCTCCTGGACAACCTGGGCTACGTTTGGTGACCTCAGTTTCTGAAATGCAACATATGTATCTCAGCAGCTGAAACAAGGGCAGTATAAAGCTCAAGGTAAACCAGGATTTGTTTCTTGGAATCAAACTTCTAAGAGCAGTGAGAAAACATCAGCTGCTCTGAGAAGGCCCCTCTGCCATCACAGCATATACTACTGGTAGTATCGGGTTTTCATTCATTCAAAAATTGATCACCCCTTGCACATTTAGAGCCAAACCTGTCTGATTGCATTTACAGCCTGCTTAGGGCACAAAGTACTAATTAGAGCTCCAGCAAAACCCAGAGGCTGAAGAAAGGCAGCAGAGTTTTATATGACATGTTCTGTGTAGATACACGAAGATGCTGCAGTTTCTGGACTTCATTTCCATTTTGAGTCTTTCTGCTCTTATAAAACAGCTACGTAATCCCTTCTGTCCATAATCAGAATCAACAATGACATCCAGTGCCCTGGGAACCCCCAGGCTGTTCTGTACCTCCAGAAGACCTTTGCACAGCTTCAGGTGAGTTATCAACAGCGTGTCTAAGTTGTCATCACCAGTAGTGACATCTTGAGTTTCTGGTCTCGTGTCACAGCTCAGGGACTTCAGTGTGTTGTCATTGTATGTGCTGTTGAGATGAGGGGGAAAAGGAGTTAGAACTCTCATCACTAAATAAAACTGAAGATGTGCAGTCTCAACGGGAGCCTTCAAGAAAGTCGCCAAACTACAAACCAGGTGGCACCAAACGCAACAGCAATTTTTTAAATTGCATTTATAACCTTCTTAAAAACATGAGGACACGTTTTGGTGCTGGGTGTTCACACCAGCAGCAGCTCTGCACAGCTGTTACTCAGCCAGGTGTTCCCCCTCAGCCCTGTCCCTGTCCCCACAGCACATACCTGACACTGGCTGTCCTGATGCTCCCAAACAGCGAGAGCTCGTCAGCACTGCAGTCAGCGTTTAGGAAGTCAAAGCTTTCCAGGACTGTCTCCACCATTAAACTCTCCATAGATGAGTGTTTGTGATGAAGTGTCTTTTGCTGTTGATGGGGTGGAAGGAAAAATGCTGTTATTTGTAGTATCAAGTCATTTTGCAGGAGTTCTTTGCTGGTTTTGAAATCATTCTTAATAATAAATTAATTTGCTTTTCTGATTTCATTCTTAGCATATCGGCTTGATGAACTGATGCAGTCACCTCGAGCTATACCAAATTTTAAAAATATCAAGAAAGATTAGAAGCAAACCTAAATGCTGAGGCTCTGACTAGTTCATGCTCAGCTTAGCCCAGACTGGTTTCCAGTTGGACTGCATTGGTTATTCCTTTCCCAGCCGTTGCTCTGTGCCCAGCACTGGGAGCTGCCTTTCCCGAGTCCTGCCTGACCTCTGGTGGCCAAACTCCTTTTGGGAACGTGCCATTGCTGCATCATTAAATGAAATCAGCCTCAGGGTCACAGAACGTCTTCAGATTTAGGGGTAACAGAGGAAGCTGCATCATGTCCCAAGGGTAAAACATTCCCATACCTTTAATTTATCCCTCAGAGACGAAACCTGGTATTCCAATTTCTCCAGCTGGGCTTGCCCCACATCGTGTGATTTCAGCAAATTCAACACTTCTTGGAGAGTCTTGTCAATAGACTTTGTATGTCCATCCAGTCTCGGGTCACTTGCAGCATTCCAGCTTTTCTGGCTGCTGTCCTCCTGCTCTGCCAGGGGCCGAGTCCTGGGCTGGCTCACAGAATCCCTCCTGCCCTTGTGGCGATTCGGAAGACTGGAGGGGTTACTTGGAAATCCATCCCCACATGGAGTCTTCTTCAGGATATCCAGAGTTGTGTGATCTGGGAGAGGGTGCTGGTGCTCTTCTGCACCAGTTTCTTGAATAATCACCAATGGCCTGTGGTCCAGAGCTGGAGTTGTACTTCGGGATTCTGCCCCTTTCTGGTCCTCAGAGCTGAACGAGTCTCCCTCACTGGTCTCGGCAGGATTGTGAGCTTTGCTCCTCCCATGGTCATCAAAATCACAGGCAGCCAAGTAGCTCAGAATGCTGGGGGGCTGGGCTTCATCACTTACATCCCCCTGGTTCTGCCTCAGCTGCAAAAGAGACTGCAGCAAAGAGATCCATAAATGAGCACGGACACAACTGGGAAGCCTGAGACCCCACCCAAGAGATACAACTCTGATTCCTGTTTTGGAAACATGCACCCAAATCCATCAAAGCACAGGGCTCTTCTGCACGTGGGGCCAGGCCAGCATGGATTGGACAAAAAACTACTGAAACCAATTTCTAAGAGCCCCAGGATGAACAGAAGAGCAGGAGTAACTGTGTGGTTTATCTTTCCGGTGAGAGTTACTAAGGCAGCTAAAAACCTGTTTCTGGGTTAAATGAATGGGGGTTAAAAAAAAACATAACAAAGCCCCAAACTGCAAAGGCCCAGAGTGCTATGCTTTCACACTTCTGAGTGTGCTCCTGAACAGTCTAATCTAACCCAAAATCAAGCCCTAGGTCTGTGCTTTGTATCTTGCTTTCCTCAGGTACTCACCAGGTAGTATTTCTCTCTGAAGCTGGGGGTGTTTGGGGGGGTCCAGTTGTACAACGAGCTCTTCCTGCTACCCACAGAAAACTTGGCAGTGCTTCCAGGTGACAAAAACAGGTTCTCTGTGTCAAAGGGGCTGCAGCAGAAAACAAAGGCCAAAGTGTCAGTGAGAGCAGAGAGCACAGAGGCGTTCAGCTGCAGGAACAGCTAGGAGGATTTGAACTGTGACATTCAGTCAATGCCACAGGGAATAAAAGGAAACAGAAACTGCCCCTCTGACCAGTATCTTTGATTGTTCCAGCAGAGAAAGAGGTAGGCAAGAAGGTATTTTACCCAGAATTCTCAACACCCTTTAAACAGAGACCTGTGCCAGAGTTTTTGGAAGAGTCCAGTGTTCCAAGAGGCTGAAGTGCTCCCTGTCCTCCTGCAGAGCCTGCACAGGCCCTGGTGCTGCCCATCCAGCACAGCCTGTGTGTGACAGGCACTGGGCACAGTGGGACAGGCACCACCCCAGGCAGGAAGGAAACAGAGCACATGTAATAAAGGAAAACTGCCAATTTCCCTCCTGCAGAGCACACAGCACCTGGAAAAGCCAATAAAACCCCCTCATTATCCTTCACTTACTAATAAATGACTGGCTGGCAGAGGAAGCTGCAGGGCTACAGGGCAGTTCTGTGGGTCACACAGGCACGGATGAAGCCACTTACAGCCCCAGAGGGTGCTGGCTGTGGGCTGCAAGACCTTGACAAATCCTGCTCTGAAGAGTTCCCAATTACCTTCTGCATCCCAGCCATTAATTTCCCAACTCCTCTGCAAACCAGTTTAAGGAAACTCGGACAAACTGTCTCCCCAAATGCAACTCAGCTACCCAGGAGAGGGAAAACATATTTCAAGTTCAGCAAAGCGAGTTTGTTTTTCCTACGTGTTACTTTTGTTCCCCACTGATATGCCTTGTGGCACCAAAAGAAAGTTTGTTTTTCCACTTAAGGACTGGCATTTGGAAAGAAGTGAACTGTTCACCACAAATCTGTAACCTCAGTGATAGGAACATGACGACCAAACAGCAGGATAAAGTCAGCTGCATTCAGCTGTACCTTGCAGGAGATCCAAAAGGGAATGAGGACTAATCAATTGCAGGGAAAAGAACTTCTGCTCTCTGGCAAAAGTTGAAAAGCAGAGCTCCAAGTCTCTTCAGCTGCTCGTGTTGCACAGGGACAGTTCTCCCCAGCACCCTGCAGTGCAGCTCCTCAGCACAGAGGTGACACTCTGAGCTCCCCTAGCACAGGTTAATTGGCTGAATTAACCAGTGTCACCCAGCTGGGGTCCATCACACAGCCCAGTTCCACGGAGTCCCAACCACCACCACCTGCATTGACTCACTGGACAGAAATAAATAGGGTTTCTGACAGCCAGAGCCTTTTCCCCAAAGCCTGCTGTGTTTGCTGATGAAAGCAAATTACTCCTACTCGTGGTATTTCTTAGAAAAAGTCACAGGGATCCATTCCTCACATTTTTCACTTTTAGCTTTTAATATAGCACTGCAGTAATGCAAAATGACACTTCTGGGAAAGGAACAACAACAACAAACTGAATCTGTTTTGCCCCTTTGACAATTCCTGGAACCCTCCAGCAAAATGCAGCTCTTCAGCTGCCTCCAGACAAGGACACACTCCCAGTCCCTGCAAGGAACAGCTGAGAGCAGAGGGGAAAGAAAGAATGGACTCTGCTCTAAAGCTTCTATTATCTCTTGGCTCTAAGCTCTTTGGGCATGATCCATCATCTCCTTCCACATTTCTACAGCAAACAAACCATCAGACTGGGACAGATCTATGAATCCATCTCTCCCAGCATTTTGACATTGACAGAATCCAGTAGGGGATATTCCAGGGGAAAACACAGGAAATTAGTCAAATAGAGTGGGCTTTCCCCAGACACATGCCCAGGTTTGAGGCAATCCATGGCTGAGATCTGTCATGCACCAGACTTTGCAAACAGACTATTGCCTTTAATTGTCACTGGTTTTTCCTTAGTTTGTCTAATGGCTTTCCTGAAATCATTGACACAAAACCTCTGTGTAGGTAAAAAGTGTGCAGAAATGTCATTATTTAACTTTAAATTGTGGAGCAAGTACTTGCTGTAGGGGGTGAGGGGTGTCTGTGGCTAATCATATCCTGTCCACATTGATGTGCCTGCACAGGATTATCCATAGGCACCTTCTCAAGGCTTAAAAATTCTATTAGAAAAAAAAAAAAAATCAAAGTGGCCCACCTGAGCTCTGCCAGCCCTGAGCATGAATTCCCAGGGAGATGTTACTTTGTCACACCCACCAAACCTGTGGAGTGATGGAATACTTGAGATTTCTATAATTTACCTCCCCCTGCTGCACTTTCTGTTGGGTAAGGAGGACACTGCCTGGTTTATGCTCTCAGAGGAGCAGAAGTGATGAGAGAGAGCTTAAGAGCAGAACTCAGTCCAGCCTTCAGCCCCAGAGGATCTGCCTTGCTTTCTCCCACTGTGCCCTAAGCACTCCCTTTCTGTCCATGGATTAAATACCAGCAGACCAGAAGTGCTCTTGGTGGATAGACCTGCCTGAATCCCAGTGTTCAGCCTGTGAATCCAGACTTACATTAATACAGAAAAAAAAGCCAATTCTAGTCAACTGATTGGACTCACTATTAATGATGAGATTTCTCTTGCCACCATCAAACCCAGGTGAACATGCCCATGCAATTTAACAGTGAGAAGGTTGTTAGTAGGTGTTTCACCTACCCCTTAAAGCACAGCAAGCACATTTTCCAGGTTAGTACAGCTTGTCACAGCCCCAGGCTATGAGTGCACAGGGATGCACTGATGGATACTGCCTGAAGATACTGCAGGAGTACCTACATGTTCACCTAAGTTTTCACTATAAGATCAGGACTGGCAGCATCCAAAAATAGAAACCAGACTTTCCTTTTTTTATTCTCCCTTCAGGTTTTCTCTCACTCCAGGAAGCCCTGTGAGCCAGGCCAGCACAGCCCAAAGCAGGCAGAGTCACCAGAGCAGTTCTGACTGGATGGTGCCCTTGGATCCCAGCACAGGGTGCTGCTGAAGTTCTGAAAGGAGAATACAGCTTTCTCTTTGTCCCGCATGTGAGACACAGAATTCAGACTGCTGTTTAGGTTGGCAAAAAACCCAAAGCCTTTTGCCAAACTGGCCAACAAAGCTGTTCTGCAACGGCCCCAAGTTCATTCACACTCCTCATGGCATGATCTATAAAGGAGCTGAAGGCACTTTTGTTTGAGCCCAGAAGACTGGAGACCTATTTAAAAGAAAATATACATTGAGAAGCGGAAGAGAGAGATCTGCATTTGGATTCCTCACAAAGCAGGTCTAGACTGAAAGCTTGTGCCTCAGAGAAGTTTGGGCAAATCAGATGGATTTGTTTAGTTATTCTCAAATCAAAGAGAAAAGCAGCTGTTGTTTTGAGTGCTCTAGCTTTGCAAACAGAAACACCCTGAGTTATCACCACAAAACTTCTCTTTTCTGCAAAGAACTCCAGCAAGCAGGCTGCCAGAGGAGAGGCCAGCTCTGCACAGAAGTGCTCTGGAGAATCCACTTGGTGGGACACCAAAGCATTTCGCAAAACTTAAACACAGCAGAGACACACAGCCGGGGTTTTCTCACACGCTGAAAAATTCCAAGAGGGGATTAACTCCCAAAGAAAATGAGTCACGACAAACCCTGCTCCCAGCTCAACTGTTGCCAACTCCAAAGGCTGTGATGGTTGTCCCAAATACCACAGACCTGCTGCTTTTGCCAGCCCAGAGCTGCACTCGGAGCTATCAGACACCACAGCCATCGAGGGTCAACAGCGTCGGGATTGGACTTTTCCAGAAAGTTCTGCCACAAATGTAATTTGCTGTGGAGATTCGGGCTATTATGAGGAACTATGCAATATCCCAGAATAGGGAGGGGCTTTCCTCGTACAGTCCTTTTGTAAGAACAGCTTATGTGCATAATTCATTATGGAAGCTACTGACAGAGAGGAAAGGAAGTGAGCAGATCCAGCAGCAGTAAGTGAAGGGACTGTCAGATGCCATTGGTGTGGGTTAATAACAAGAGAGTAGAGGTGATTTCTTCTGAGCACCTCACCAAAACACACCACATCCTGATGCCCACTGTCAGATCTCGAGAGGAAGAAGCACCATAAATGGGTGCAGCCAAACTCTGCTGGGTGAGTTTATTTCTCATTGACTTTGAGCAATCTGTGTGTTGGAAAATCATTTTCAGGTGCTGTGGGCAAGACACATTTTTCAGCCCAGTTGCAGGTACAAGTCAGCAGTAAATGTCAAGAACCACAGCATGCACAAGAGACATTCAGAAAACTGTGTTGATCAATAAAGCTTTTCTTTCCCCAGCCCCAGAAATGGAACCTGAAAGCTGTTTCTGCTTTTCCTGGAGAGAGCTTGGATCCCAGGTCAAAGTGGCCTTTCAAGAGGGTCCTTACAACAGAGGTGTGTTCAAAGGCCTCTTGGCCATGGAGGGCTGGGAAGAATCAAGGACTGCAGTGAGCCACACACAGAGGTACAAGAGAACAGTGCCCACTGTTTAACTGGGCACTTCACTAAGGGGCTGCATTTAATCCCTGGACAACAGTAAATGGAAACAGGTTAAAAAGTCTTGATTTGTTGTAGATGGTCCTTTCAGTGTGGAACAACAGTCCCATAAAGCAGAAACAACAGTACTACCTCAAAAACCTTGGTGAGTCTGGAGTGAGGAATAAGTTCCACTGCAGCATCCACAACAGTGAGAATTTGCTTTTAATAACATCAGTAATCCACTACAATAATCAACTTACAGATTTAAATTATAAAACAATTTAATAAATCACAGGCACCATGACAATGCTCAGCTCCTTTAAAAGCACATCTGTAACCAAGCTTCCCTGTAGTGCACAAACAGGCCTCGTATCCATAACTACTCAGTGCAAATATGAAGGTGCCAAGTTTTGGGAAAGCTTCATTTATAACAAATTGTGATCTGGTCAGAGTGATTGTTCTAAAATTTCAGCTATGTATTTTTTTCATTGTGCCTACAAGCTGCTACTTCCAGTTTCATTTCATCATCTTCAGTTATTTTTCATATTTTATAGATGGACATAAATTGCTTGGAGCTGGACTGAATGCTCACTGTGAAGAGGGGTGAGCTAAGTAAGGCTCACTAAGTCAGGCTAAGTCAGCTCCCATGGCTATCCATGGCTTTGGTAAGAGCAAAGGAAGATCTGATAGGTCATAGAAAGAGCTTGTGTCCTTTCCCCTGCCCTCCTGAGGACTGCTCCAACAGAGATCAGGCCCAGCAGCCGGGATGGCTGTGAGGAAGCACAAGGCTGTCATCTGTCCTGCACCTTGAATGGAGAGAGGACTGTGGGGGTGAATGCTGCTCACTGACATACTTAGGAGCCTTTGATCATTTCCAATGTTTTCTAGCTTTTCCCACTGGAAGCTCTACTTACTTCCAGAGGACCTCCAGCTGCAGCTTGATGGTGCCCAGTTCAGTGATGTCCACAATGATGGCCTGAGGCTTGGTTGTAAAGAAGTTGATGCTGTCACATGTCACGACACCAACTAGAATAGTGGCCAGTCCTCGCAGCTCTGTCACCTGCAGAGACAGACAAACACATCCAGTTTCATCCTACCAGACAGTCCTCAGTCACCTGCACAGAAAGGAGAACACCCCAGGCTCAGCTCTGCTCTGAGGCCTATAACAAACCAAACACTGATACTCAGTTCTAGGCTCCTAAACAGCTGTGAGCTGATATCCCCACAGGGAACAGCTCCCAGGGGGCTGGCAAAGGGGACACACAGAGCTGCACAGCACTTCAGACAAGGGAACTTGGTGGACTATGATTTTAAGAAAAATTAGTCTGTAATTCTTGCTCTAGTACTGGAACTATTTCAGTACCAGACTATTTCAGCTCTCAGTTGCCTAAAGGATCTGGAGACACAACTCTCTGCATCCTCTGTGACCTCTCTAACTGTCCTGAGCTCAGCAGGATCAAAATCAGAACTTGGGTCATTCTTTCCTCCAGCTCTGCAGGTGGCTCCAGGTTTGTTACCAATGCAGTCACAGGCCTGTGTTTTTCCCAGGCTGGCACTTTTCTTCTTCAGCTACTTAAAAAAAAAAAAAAAAAAAACAACAACCTAACTTGAGTATTTGCTACAAAAACATACTTCCAACTGAAGATCACATTGTTCTAGAAGTGCATGAAGCATCAGACTCAGCACAGAATTTTAGCACAAGTGCCTGAACTCCACTTTGGAATTAGTTCCTTGCCTACATCTCTTTTAAGAGCTGAAGTCATGCTGCTGGGCTCCTCTTGGAACACTCTTTGGCACTCATCAATTTTCTTCTCTGTTTTTTTAAACCTGCTATGTATTTGCACTGGGCAAAGATCATTAAGCACAAAGTGGAAAGAGCAGGAGGCTGTGGAGGACATTCATCAGTAGACTTTCATAAGTTGACAAAAAGAGTAAAACTATCATTGTCACACAAAGTAATACAGGTTTTAACGACTATTATGGGAAAACAGGGATCTGAATTAGCTTCTCACCTGATCTTCATTGTGCAGTGACAGTAAAAAAGCATGTTATAAGCACATTTCCAAAGGCAGTGCTGGCAAGATGCCAAAGAATGTCTCCTGTGTAACCCAGTTCTTGCTGCCAGATAGGAGGAGAACACTGCAATAGCTGCTTTAACACAACTGCCAAAACCCCAAACCCTGCACTGGCACAGTTTCCCAGTAGGACAGAATCCAGCACAGCCTTCAATCTCAGCTCCCTTCAGGCTGACAGGAGTCACGCTGCAGGGTCCAGCCCACTAGAGATGCCAGGTTACAGTGCAAATGCTGCTTAAGGATTAATTCCCCCTGCAAGGGAGGTGTCAGAACCAATGCAGGGGCAGCTGCACGTGGGGCTCTGAACACTTCCCTCAGTGTCACCTACGGCCACTGCACTGGTCCCTTACTGCCAAAGATGTGACCTGTTCCAAGGGATTTCTAAAAGAGTGTCAGAACTCTAAACAAAGATTTAAAGTACAGTTTGCAGCAGCACATAAATGCCATTGGTTCTTCACAGATATGGAGCATCTCTGCAGTAAAACACAACAAAACAGCTGCACTGCACCCGGATAAAGGGAGGTTTGAACCCCACACTCCAAACACACACAGGTGCAATGGTATGTTTTCTATACATTAATTTCTCTCTTTCAGTAGAGAACAGAACTATTGGTACTACATATACATCTGGGTCTCTACATCTAGACTTCATCCTAGAAAATCCCAGATATTGATCTTGGACATTTTTTAAAAAAACCCAACCAAACAAAAAACCCAAACCACAACCACGTCGACCAGACTCCAGACTAGGGGAAAGCAGATGCACTAATACAGTTACAAGGGCCAGAAGCAAAGGAAAACCAGAAGTACATGTCCCTTCACTAGACAGAACACGGATTAACTGCCATTTTTACACGGCTAGAAAAAGAAAACTATTTAAGAACTTTCAGAAACACTTGGTAACTTAAGAGGTAAGAGGTAAGTGGCAGAAGACGTGTTAACCCACTGATTCCAATCCAACCATTATACACCACACCTTAATTTCAAACTTCTCGTGGAGATTGGGTATAAAAATCTTCTCCTCCTCATCCCATGTCTGGCTGTCATCGGTCTCGATCTTGCCTTTCAACCTCCATTTCTGGCGCCCCAGTCGCACAAACACCTGGAAACCACAAAGAGCAAAGGATGTCGGGTCAACATATCCCAGAACATTCCCTTCAGTCCCTAGGCCTCTCACTGTTCCAGTCAGGCAGGAGTGAAGCCATCCCCTTGATCACCATGCACTTGGGAACTTGGATAAGGCTGGAAGATTGGAGACAGGAATTCAGGATGCAGGTTTTAACACCTGAAGCAGTGCCAAATGCCACGTCCCACCCATTCTAGAAGAGCTGCAGAACTACACTGCATTCCAAGTGTGGGGGTACTGGAATACAAGGCACACTGGAATTCATTGGGAACTGTCACAGGTAGGAGAGCACCCAGTAAGACACTAAGGTGCATTCAAATGATGCCAAGGGCAGCCTTCCAAGAAACAGGCAGCCACTGCTACATGATTCCAGGGTAACTCTGAAGACAGGTTGGGTTTCACAGACAATCACTGCCATCTTTTAAACCCTCCCATAACACCCAAATCACACCTTTCCCTCCCCAGCCCAGAGGGCACAGTAACTCCTGAATGTGCCGAAGCACTGTTCCCATCACAGCAGTGGGTGTTTTTATCACCCACTGCTCTCATCCTACATGTTCCACCCTTGCTCTCCTGTTCCTCTATTGCAAACTCACACCAGGAAAGTAAAGGACAATTAATTGCTTTATACTGCACCTCATACTGGTCCCCCGGGCAGAGACGTGCAAAGCCCACCAGCCCTGAAAAGAGAAGGAAAACTCCTAATACCTGTAGAGTTTCAGATTGCAATAAATCAAGTGGCTCTCTGGCCAATACCTCTCCTTTCCTCAGCTCTGTGCAGAAGCTATACCACAAGCCCAAGACACTCTTGAAAGGACAAAATTTAATTGAGCTGAGGAAAGAAAGCTTGTCAGCTTTTGTATTCAGATAGACAGTACCACTGCAGAACTGTTTTACAGCACTGAAGCAAACAGGAGTTTGCCAGAACTCTGTTCAGGGTATCATCCAGCAAGCCAGTGGAAGCAACTGGCACTGAATAGCTGGACTCTCAGTGGATCAGATTGCTACCTAGACCACAAAATCGACTGATGAGTCTTGAAGGAAAGAGGAAAGGAACTTACCTTTCATCTTCACGTGGAACTCTCCCAAGTGGACCTCCAAGGCCCCCTCTATGAAGCACATGTCCTACAAGAAAGACTGCACAGTCATCACAGTTGCAAAGCAGTGCAGAGTAGCACCTTCCCACATGGGCCATTTTCTTTAGAGGACTTTGGCCCTTTTATTATTTTAAAGGACACACAAACATTTTCACTAGTGGAGGCAGATACAGAGTCCATTCATACTACTTTTAAGACAGACAATCTTCCACAGAAGAGTGGAACTGCTTCAGCTGACCACTCCCAGTTATGTTCCATTCCTTGTTTTGTGAAAATAGCAAAGCTTATTCCTCCTTCAATTCTCATCCCATGCTTCCAGTGGAAGTCATAATGGACCTCAGTATTAAAGAATTTTTATGTTATGTATTTTATACATGGTTTTTAACCCACACCATTAACAAAAAAAAAAGCCACTAGCAAGTCCTAGTACATTTTTTGCTAAGAAGTCAGGTCTTCATTACAAGTATGTGGTATTTCATACCTCTGTGCACTCTTGGAAGTTCTTGTAAAGCTCCACTAGACTCTCTCTGGAGGCTTTGGTGGAAGGGGACAGGGAAAAGGCATGTTTCATGTTAGTGGCCCCATCTCGCAGCCTGCACTGGATACAATAAGCTTCATAGAGTTCTTCTACCTTTAGGATTTGGAAGATGGGGAAAGAAGGAACCAAAATTACCTTGGCATAATTTTAAGAAGTTTTGGAAAGGAACATCAGTATCTTTCCTGGCAAAAAAAAAAAACCCAACCAAATCCCTCTGTCAGAGCATTGCAGGGTGCTGCAACTCCTGCATTTTACAGAGTGCTACAGTTTGCTTTTCAATATCCCATGCTTTTTTCAGGAATACAATTAGCTCTGCTATTACCAAAGTAGAAGACAAGGAGTGGAGTAACACTTTTCTCATGAAAAATTTACTTGCAGAGCAGGAAACCAATTCCTTCAATACAGACTAAGCCCCCTCCACCATTAGCTATGCCAGAGGGGAGGTTCCAGTCCTTTGGAAGCAGCTGGCAGACAGCAGACAGAAACTCCACAGAACTGCCCCTTTGGCCCCTTGTGAGAAGGGGAGGGAAGAACATGTCAGTGTTCCCAGAGCAACATTTTCTGAATAAACTGGCAGAGTGTCCAAACTGGTTTCACAGGAAAACTCAGGTTGGGTCGCGCCCAACATTCAGCCTGAATAGAACCATTCAGGAAAATAAATAAATAAAAATCCCCTCCTTCGGTACAAAGAGTGGCTACAGCTTTCAGAGAGTCCCCAGCATCATTCCCCTTCAGATGAATTATAATTAAAGTGGTTTCCATTTAGCTAAGTCACTTACAAAGCAGTGTGAGCCTGACAGGTACAAGGTATGAACCCCCTTACCTTGCTTATGTGAAATTCCAGCTTTCTGATGTATCTCTCCACAGAGCGGATTTGCTTTTGAAGAGGAGAGACAGAGAGAGAAGGGGACTTGAGAAATTATTTCCTAAACATATCTGTAAGTTACACAGCAGACACATCATCCATTTTTCTCTATTTGCAGCATTTCATCCCCCATAGGCTCACCTTGTCCAGGTCATAGTAGAAAGCCTGAAAGAGAAATGGCAGAGGCTGAAGAGGAGAGCACGTGTATCTGTACCTATTAATGATACTTTCATATGTACTGCCAGACTCACTATCTTAAATTGCACTAAATTGAGATTACAAACATTGACCACTGAGCAGACACAAGGAGATATCATCCCAGTAAAGAAACAGGATCTGAAAAACACTGCTGGATGTTGAAAATGAGAAATCTCCAGTTAAATTCTCACATCTAGGGCTACCTTCCTTGGGAAATTGCTGATTGTAATGCCTCACTGGATCCCACCTCAGCATTTTAAATGGAAAACTCCTGGGAGTCCCAGGTGGGAGAGAGCATCTACTTTTGTGACTTTATTTAAGTATTTGACATTAAAAAAATCTTACCAATCTGGAGTTCCTTTTTGTATCTTTGTGTCGACCAGAGAGATAATCTAATTCAGCCTGATGTGCTTCCAGGTATTCACTGGAGAGAAAGAAAACCCACTGTTAGATTCCTCTGGTACATTCATTAGAAATTCTTTGGGTAGGTGTTTTCAGCAGAATGTTATGAAGCAACTTCCTTCTCCAGAAGACTTCCCTTGTTTTACTCTCTTGAGATGTGAATGGCTACAGGGAAATGGGCCAAGAGATGACAAAGGCTGGTTTCCATAGACAAATACTTGTTCTGAATGCCAAGCTGACCCTAGAGGAACAACTGTACCCCACACGTACCAGAAGATGGTTACTGTCACCCAAAATTTAAAGATGCTTTACATTAGGAATCCTCCTGACTCCTTTTTCCTCTGACAAGCTGTGGAATGCTGCAGTGCAATGCAAGGCCAGCATTGCTGCATGAGTGTACATGGCATATACACATACACACTGCACTCAAACTTTCACAGGTTCTTGTTTCCCTTCATTTAAAATAAATCATTCAAATGAAAGATGGGCTTTATTCTAGAACTTGAGGCAAAACAAAACAGACAGTAGAGCTGGTAGTACTACTAAAGGCAAGAAGAAAGGAGGGATTAGGAGAATAGCAAGTTCTAACACATAAACCAACTCACAGATCTTTTCAGATTTCTCTGACTATTCCTACCTGAACCTTTCCTGTCAGTTCATTTGTTGAGAAAGTCTCTTCTGCAGTTACTGAGGAGAAAGAACCAACCCCATCTTACAGAGAATTGCAATATGGAACACTTGCCCTACAAACCCAAGCTCACAGAAGTGCTGCCCAGGTAAGGAAAGGCAGATGCCATCAGCGTTTTAGCAAACAGAGCTCAATACCACATTGAGACAATTCCTTGATGCAACCATTACTTTTTCCAGAACAAGACCTATTTTGCAAGGTGTGAAGCACTTGGTGCCAGTTGGCTTCTACAGAGTTGCTTGCACACATGGGTTGTGCCTTAGGAGTTTCCACAGGGCCTTAAACTTTTTCTGCTGAGACCATCGTCTTCCAACTTTGCTTTTAATACAGAGCAGACTTAGGTAACTTTTTCCTCTTACGTTTAAGAGGGAGTAAGAGTCACCCAGTAAAGGCTACATTATTAGACACAGGCTCTGAGTAGTCAAAATAACCTCATTTTAGACAGCTGCACTTACTCACATTTGCTTTGATGCATTTCATTTTCTTACTGTTTCAAAACCAGTTCCCCCAAGACGCCCCATGTCTCCAGCATTCAGCTGCCTGCCCTTAACACTTGCCACTGACAGCTCAATGCAGAAGTAGCCAAGGCTGGTGACAGAAAAGTGTTCACTTACCTTTCAGAAAAGCTTTGTCACTTTTAGATTTAAGTATGTTGGAATTACCAGCCTGATGGAATGGCACCCAGATGGTTAACAGAATAAAGAGTTATTTTCTATAGCTATAAAGAAACAGGCATGTAAAAACATGTTCTGCACTAAAAATCCAAGTCACTCCAGCACCAAGTGGACTTTGTCTGCATCTGCTTAAAATTTGGACTTTGCATTGCTATTTGATACAGTTGTTTTCTGTAGGTTACTTCAGTCAATTAGTTGCTACTCAGTTTTGGCAGGAGGCTGATCCTATGGTATTCACTGCAAAACTGGGAACAAATTCTGATCCACTTTATGGTTTCTCCTCCCTAAGCTCTGATAAATTCTAAACTCTGCAAAAACATTTGGTTTCATAGTTTCTTTTAAATCTAAATCCTCTAATAAGACGTTGGTGGATATTTTTAGGGCTAAGACTTCATAGTCTTTTACTGGACTAAAAATGTGACACATCTGACTTTACAATGTATTATTACAGTGCATTTTACATTCTTTGCTTAAGAAAACAAACTCTGACCAAAATTAATACAGTAGCAAAAGTTTGGGGACAGCAGCAACACACGTGAAGGAACTGTTAGTAGGATGCCAGCAGAAAGAGCTACAGGGTTTACACATCCAAGAAAAGGTATTTTATCTTCTGATAGGAGCTGCAGGGTGTAATTGAAGCTCTGTGATAACAGATGGACCCTTCAACATCAACTGTAATGCTTTAAGATGTGCATTTTTGTGTTACAGGACCTGGGGACTCCGTTGAAGGCAGAGCAGTGTCGGTCACCCAGGGAGGCACAGCCCTTGTGGGCTGCTCACCCATGGCCTGTTTGCCCATTCAGCACTGAATAATATCAGTGTTCTCTGAGGTAACTGCCACCTTCCCCAAAGCCACAGGACCCTGAATTCAGGCTCCCAGCCCACCCTTTGGTCCCCATTGTCTGCTGCAAACACCCCACACCAGCCAGCCAGAGCCAATGAGCACGACTGGTCTCTTGCCTTTACACCCCAGTCTGCCCTGATGCAGCAGTGGCTGTGCAGTCCACTCTGATAAAGGCTCTGAAATAATGCCACATTTACAGCAAAGTAATGTTATTTACATTTCCATAAGGAGATGGAGCTGTACTACAGCTCTGCTTCATCACCTTGACACAGCTGAAATTTTCAGGTGTACCTGCTTAGACTTCCCTTACAAGACACCCAGAGATGACTTTTGAACTTCAGGCTATAATTCCACTAAAGAGGGTGAAAAAAAGAAACAAAAAGCCACCCTGACACCTCCACCCCTCCTAGAATAGCTAATTGTGCAAGTGCTCCCTTATTAGTATAGGGACAATAGAAATGGTTGAGGAACCAGCCTCCCCACTGTGTCCTTGTAGGGCACACCCTCACTTGCACTCGATTTTAATTCAGCTTTTTGAGTCAAAGCAAACTCCACACACTTCCCTCTCCAGAAACTTTCTGCCAAGCACTGCCCAGGCCTGGCTGTCCCATCCCTGCCCTGCCACCCTGCATGCTCTGAAAGCCTCCCTTCCTCACAGGAGCTCAGCTGCTCCCCAGGAGATGGACAATCTCCCCACTGAGTTCTACCTGTCCCTGGGGAAAACAAAAGCATCAGAGCACTTTGCTTGCAAGCAGACTGAGAGTGAATGAAACTTGTTTTACAAGGTCCCCAGTCAGTGTCTGGGGAAGCCACCACACATGTTTAGAGATGCCAGATGGAGACAGAGCACAGTGACAGACAGACTTAAGCAGCATGACGAGGTGAGGCAAATTGTAATATTTAAAAAGTCCTTACTTAAGTCCTTTCTTCAAAGCTTCAAAAATTTTCTTCACCTGCAGTGGCTTTGGATCCCAGATCAGTGCCCCCTTCTGCAGGGAATTATAAGCCTTGGGGGGTTTCAGAGACATCCTTGATCTCACTGAGCTTCTGCTGAGAGACTTTCTGTAGAAAGAGAAAAGAAATACAGGGAAGATGCAAACCCCATCACCTGGGAGAAGGGAGATGCCTAACCCACAAAGCTTCCAGGCTGCAAGTTGTATGCCCAACTCCATAGACATTTACTCAAAGAGCAAAGCCTTTGGACACACAGGGAATACTTTCACAGGTGACATCAGAAACTTCACACTGCTGGCAACTGCTCAAGGTCTGACTGATCAAGCTCACATAAAAATCCTTAGCAACAGCCATTCCTCTGCCTGCACTCCATCCCTTTAAACCATGGCTCAGAGCCCCACCACGGTTTTAAAAAGCAAACTACCCAGCCTAGATTGCATACAAGATAGAATCATCAAGGTGTATTTTCAGCATCTAACACCTCACTTAATTACTTTTAAAAGGAACTACAAAACCAAAATGAAATATTGTTTCTAAGAGAAGTCCCACACAGGATTTTTTGTGCCAAGCTACAGAGTGAGAACACTCTGAGCCATTACTTATATATATATATTTACATAATTTAAACCAGAAAAGGAGCTCTCTGCAGATGATTCCTGACTGGTTTACCTCTATCTATACACTCCTCTAAGTCTTGGCTATTTTTATATAGTTTTGTTAATAATGCCTGTAAGTCAAGCTTCCCCAATCTACCAAAGCAAACCAAACCAACTGGTGGCTCTCAGAGAAGCTTTCTTCCTTCTCTCCAATCTCTATCCTAAATTCAACTCACCTGGAGAAATTACCAACTTTAAAAGGCTTTACACTTAACCACTGGCTGTTTTAAGTTCAAGGCATGTGACTGGAGGCCTAAGGAGATTATTGAGCTTGGTGATTAAAGCCCAAACCCAACACACCTGAGAGCTGTCCCTGCTCCTACTATAGAAACACTTGAGTAACTACTTTAATTATCCTCATCCACTTGACTCCATTTTTTAACATATGTTCTGCAAAAAATCTGATAAATTAGGTGTTGCCAAACTTTACTGGATATTTGATTTCTTCACTACCATGACTATCTTAATTTTTTATGATGGCTTAATGTAAAGTGTTAATTAACCAAACCATTTGGAGCTCAGGTTACCTATAACAAGGAACACAACTCTTAAATTAGAAACTTACATTAATATTACTTTTCTTTATTAAGATAATGAATGTTTGAGTATTCCATGCAAAGTGAGAGGGTTCCAGCAGGAATAACACTGGAAGGGACAGTCTAGCCAAGAACAGCAGTTGAAAGAGTCTCCTAGAAGGCTCATCACTTAAAATCTTTTCATGCTAATAAGAAATAGCATCTCATTCCATGAGTTAGAGTACTCTCATTGGCAAGATACCATATAGAACAGATAATTTCTGTATTTTGAAATTAAACAGACCAAATTACTCCTGGGTTTTGTTTCATTTTGGAAAGTAAAGGAATTTGAAATTTACCTTCAGATTTTGGGAGTGCGGATCCTAAATTCGGGAAATCATTTCCCTTCAGTTGGAAGTACAGCATCTAAGTACTGCAACCAGAGAGGCTGGGATTTCAAACTCCCCCTTTTCCTCAGCATCTCCCACTGACTGCTGTAGCCCATAGGAGCACTGATGTAAGAATCTCATTTTCACACATTTCATACAACAGTTCAGTGGCTGATGTGGGCCTGCAGGGCCCAGTAGCTAAAAGCTGGATGCTGTGTTGCTGCTTTCCCTTGTGAACTTCATAATTTCAGTATCAGATTTCCCACTTTATGGATAACAGTAATAATATTTACTTCCTGTGGAACCCATTGTGGAGAAATACGAAGTCGTGTGTCTGACTGAGAGGCTCAAAAGGAAGTTGCTAAAGGAAAGCAAAAGTATATTTAGCATCTGTTTAAGAATGTCCATGTGGACCTGATTTGTGTGTCATCCTTTGGACAGACCTTGCACAGGGCCCCTGCAAGCTCCTGCTGTGTTTTGCAACAGTGCCTGAGGGAGAGATAAGTTAGGAAAGGGTGATTAAAAAATGCTGGGGAAAGCTCTCATGTTCACTGGGCTGTGACTGAGTGTCTAGTACACAAATCTTCCTTATTGCAGTGATTCCTGAGCAAAACTGTCTGTCTAAACACTTACATAATGAAAAGCACCATCTTAAAAATGCATAAAGAGAGGCATTTGGTTAGAAAACCTTTGCAGCAAGAAGTAACAGGATAACCTGAAGGGACAGATGAACTCCTCTGTCTGGAGCACTCACACCCCTGCTGCAGACACAGCTGTTCAACACTGCTCCTGGTAGAGCCTTTCCCTGCTAGAACTCCCACTCAAAGCTCAAGTCTGTTTATATCATTTGACAGAGTTTTTCTCCAGATCTTAGTGATTGGTGTGATTTTAGATGTCTGATCTTTGCTTGAGGTAATATTAATTTTCAGTTTCCACAACAAATCAGTTAATTCAAATTGAAGAATTCTTGATGGCATCACAATCATGCTGGGATTTCATTTTTTGCTCCTACTTTACTAAGCTGTGTTTAACTAAAAGTTTGATTCAGTCATTTGGTTCTTTGGTAAGATATTTCATTACATGAGTCAGGTATTTTCCTGATACATAACAGGATTTTTCTGAGCACAATATTCCTAGGGGCATATTTCCCAACACTTCTATATGATACTGCTAAATGATTCCCTTTGGTATTATTTTAGCATGCACTGGCAGTCATATTAATTTTACATTTATGTATCATATCTACTAAAAGCACTCAACAGACTTTACAGGATTGCTGAATTCAGAAAAAGCACTTCTAGTGGAAAAGCTGCAGTTACCTACACAGAGCAATGCTGCCCAGCAGCTTGTGAAAAGCAAAATGAGAAGATCAGTGCAGGATGGTTTAGCAATTACAGAGCCCAGCTGAAGGCTGGGCTCAGCCTTGGCTGGATTATGGACTGTTACTGAGAGCAGTGGGTTTGCAGTGGCCTCCTGGCCTGTTTGATTCCTCCCTTCCTCTCCCTTGTGGCACTGCCAGAACACAGCCCTTCCTCTCATGAAATGCTGCTCTGCTTCAGTAACTCAGCAGGATCTGAGCCAGCTCCAGTGACAGATATTGCCAGGATTCACCATTAGCATCCCCATCTTTTTAAAGGTCTGGGAGACTTCTGATTACCATAACTACTAAGAAGGCTTTAGTCAGAATACATCAGTCACTATTTGGCTGCTAGCAGGAAGGGTTGCAGCCCTTCATTTTTTCAGAAGAAATGGACACTATTAAGAGTCTGATCCATCACCTCTGTAATCCAACCATCCCTGCAGTGCAGTGTGCAGAGCAGTAAGACAGTCTGGGGTGAAGTACAGCTGTTCATCAGTGAACCATGACAACACTCAGTAGTTTTAAGATGAAAATTAAGGAATGACATCTCCTCATAGCTGCCTTAGGTTAAGAACTCCATTCCCAGCCTGCTGCCCAAAGGATCAGGTGGATGTTACTTACGCCAGTTTTCTGCTTTGCACAGTGCTGAACCCAGTGAAGGAGCAGCTCCTGCTGATCCCACCCCCATCACCAGGGGACACAAAGGTGAGTTTGACCGACATGGTTCCCAGTCAGGGAGTCTGTTGGCTTCTGAAATAAAACACAAAAACAGATGAGTCAAAACCTTCTTGGCAGTTCAGACTTGTGCTGCTGCAAGAGTTGAGCTGCATGGAAGCGGAAAGTCAAAACAACAGACAGGAGAATAACCTGAAAAAAAGGACTTGTCTGCAAATCCTGTTTCCTCTGTTGCCATCCACTATACAATTAATGAGGGATTGAACAGTCTAAAATGAAATCTCTCATGCCCTCTTCAATTTCTGATTGATTTTACAAACTCACTATGCAAAAGCCAGAATAGCCTCAATTCACAGGCTCTCTACATTTGTGATTTTTTTAAAAACCCTGTAATTGTCCCACTGCTTCAGGAGTCCAGGCCAACCAGTGTATTTCCAAATCAGTATGGATGCCAGAACAATACTTAAGCTCCAGACTCAGTGAGGTCCAAAAAGCAGTTCCTTGCATGTGTGCAGAGCCACACTGCAGTCAATGGTAGGATTGGCTGAGTGTGGTGCTTAAGCCCAAGGCAGAAGTCTGGTTTCAACAGTAAATTTCAGGTTCATGCTCCTCCTCTGGCAGGGTTTCTCTTGGATTGCTCTCTTGTTTTCCATCAGTCAAACTCTTTGGCTTTCTGGAGAACTGTGTTCTCTGCCATGTGTCTATAGAATCCAAGTCACAATATAAGTAACAGACATATCCTTCAAAGCAGCTGTAGAAAATCACCCGGACAGTTCATATACAGAAAAATTCCCTTCCTTCCCCCCTCAAGCTGGTGTAATGTAAACACCACAACTGAGTAAAACTGAGTCAAACAAAAAGCTGGAGTATGTATTTGTTGGGAGAAGTACAAACTCCAAGAAAGTGCTCTCCATGGCCATGCAGATGTTAGTCCCACATCACAGTGTGCTCTGAAGAGCAGCGAGCTCTGAATCCACCAGTGGATGCTCCCTCTAGCATGGCTACCATTAGTCACACAGGAGGCCAGAAATGTCAACATAAGGTTTTTTCCCTGGCTCTGCCACTAACCTGGAAAGCAACCTCTTCACTGCTCTTCCAGAGTGCCCGTGAGAACTGAGTGGTTCGATGTACTTCCCGAGAGGAATGGGGTTGGAGGGTGTTTTGCTAATTCTGGGCTAGTCTACAAGTACAGGAATTACTGCCAGTGACTAAGGTTAGGTATCATCATCTCCCAAAGCAGGAACAGTTGTCCTGGATTTCCAGAAGCAGAGATCCTGTGGTGAGACTGACTGGTCCAGGAGAAGCCACTCAGTCAATTCCCTGGGCTGAGGTCTAAGACTCTTTGTCTGTTCTGTGGGCTGTGCCAAGCTCCTGAAAACATCTGGGAAAAACAGGCAAAACATTTTAGAACAAGATGTGAAAATGATAAATTTGAGCCAAACAGCTGCCTGCTTTGCAAGCTCACTGGTTTGTCAGAGGTGCTGAGCATGGCAAGGTATTTTACATCTCAGAGGATCAGAGTCCATGGGACTCCACAGCCTCAGTAGTATCCATGGAAACCTGTTACATTGAAAACGTAGGTGGGTCTTAATCACCTTTTAATCAAACTGTACAGCACTTACATACTCCTTTGAAAAGATCCTCCTTAACACCCTTAATCAGACTTTGTACTTGCATCATATCACAGCTGAAGTTTCAAAATATTTTCCATTCTTTCCTCTAGTTTTCAGATGTTTGTAAGTCTGTGAACTGTCACCCCATCAAAAGGATCATTAGCCTGAAAAAGCATGCAACTTACTGAAAAATGTAATTGCATAACAAGCTGTTAAAGGAAGAAATAAAAGGAATAGCCTCCTGGTTATTGACCACATCCCTCAGCAAGGCTAAGCCAGATTCCCAGGATCTATTTGTTAGCTCTTAACCTGGGAAACTTATTTCATGGCTAAAAGGGAGTAAGAAAATGCAGGAGCAGCTTGTCTAATTTTATAGGACCCCTAATGCCTGCATGGACTGACAGCCTTTGGAGCACCTAGATATGGAACAAACAAAACCAGGCAGGCCCTTGGCAGGGAAAAGAAAGTGGAAAATGATGAGAAGACTCCTGAAGAAAATCCTGTGCACTGAAGTTTAGATGTGAAGGACTATGTTGGAAACGTACAGACCCCCAAACTCAGCTGGGGAAAGAAAGAAATTGTTCAAATTGCCCAGACTTGATTCTGCTGCCACATGTGTGGTTATAAATCAAATGTAATTCTGGACTTAAAAAGATGTACTGTGGCAAATCAGTAGGAGTGAGAGATGACTTGGGCCTCACTTGGACATGGCCAAAAGCATTTCAGCTCCTCAGGGTCATTTGTTTTTGAGACTGCACAGAGCTCAGTCCCCGAGGCCACTGACTCTGTCACCTTCTGCTCTAACACAGCTACTCCCCAAAGCAACTCCCAAGCACATTTTCCCAGTTCCCCAAGAGCGAAGGGAATTTCAATCATGTTAGGAAAGCACCATTAGAGAGGTTATCTTTCTTGCTCTGAAATAATGTCCACAGAGTCAAATACCTCTTGGTACACACCTAATACATATATTTTTTGTAGTGACCTAGAAATCTGACAGCTCCCCTCACACTTCTGAGCAGAAGACCATAAGTTGGATGTCAAGACAACATTGTATTTATAAGAAAGACTTATAAATGCAGTTGTTTAAACAGAGGGTTTTTCTAGCTGGAGTGACTGAATGAAGTGCTGAGCTGTGTTACAAGTGCCCCTGAGAAAAAGCATCTGGACACATCTCAAATTCTACCCGCCTTTAGGGTAGAAATAAATCAGATAAGGACCCCCAACAAAGCGCAGTTCAAATCTGCCTCCTAACCTGTAAGCTCTGCTGTGCAGGCCAGTGTCTCCAAATCTCATAAATACAGAGGTTATGCTCTAGGGAGCAGAGGAACTTCCTCCCTTTTACTCCTCCCAAAAGCACAGAATGCAAGGACAGTAGCTGGGCAGGGGCTGGCATATGCAGAGCACAAAAATATCAGGCCAAAATGAAGGAGTCTATTGCCAGAGGCAATGAAACACCAAACTACTGGAAAAACCATGGAGTCTTGAAAAATTCTTATAAAGCTGGTGAGTCTTGACCACGCATCTCAACTGCCAGGGACTCATCCACTCAAATGTTTTAGTATCAGTTTTGTATGACTGAGCCTTCAGGTCTCAGAGGGGCATTTTTCATATAAATAAAAAAAGGGTTTTTTTTCAAATTAAAGGAGTAGGTTTGTTTGCCCCTGTTACGATGATTTGCCATAACAGTCTATTGGCATTTAACTTTTGGTGTCACCAAGTATTCAGGCATGTAGGGCCAAACACTGGGGCTCCTGTGGAGCAATGAGGACACACAAACTGCGTGTTCTGCTCTGTCTCTGTTAGTTTTAGGATATTCCTCAAGCCAAATGACCTTCATCCTTTACAAACAAAAAACTGGGGTCTGTTTGTGTTTATGGCTAAACTTTTCCAGCCCTAGTCACATCTTTAATTGTTTCTGGGCACAATGGTTTCAACAATTTTATGAGGAAAATATGACTCACTGGCTTCTTGCAAAATATTTCTTGTGTTTTGTGCTTTAAATTAGTAGCCATGTTTTTGTGTCAGCATGTCCGAGAGGTTCACTTGAACTTGGTGAACTGCTGCTACAGTAAAGAATTTGTGTTTCCTTCAAGTTTGTAGTGCTCCAACTGTGAATGAGCACTTGGGTTGGAGACACACACTTTCTCCTGGTTGTGTGTTTGCAGAAACCATCCCAGATTTCTGCTTCCCTCAGCTCATTGTGGGCACACACGGAGCTGACAGCCTGGACAGCCAGATCTCCCCAGTGGGGCAGTACCTGCTCAAGTAAACTATTAGTCACTATAGAAAATAAACACAACCACAGAGAAGCTATCAATTGTTAATAACTCCCCTTAGTGGGTTTCTGCACAGCAGAGGACATGGGTTTATTGCAGTTGCCACATAGAATCTACATCTTTCATAACGTGGTTTTATAAAATTCACTTCACGACAGCCAAATAAACTCACCAATAATGTGTACTGGGTCTATACCATCTCCACTGAAACTCAGTTTTCTCTGTATGTGACCAAAATCAGCAGTGATTAAGCAGATGAAAATTTAGGGCCTTTAGAGACATTCTCTGGGCCTTAGAAATGAGCTGTGTTTCCAACTGATCATCTGTTGTTTCAAAAAAAACTTCAGTCAAAGGTGCTGGAGTTTTTCATCCCACTTCCCTGAAGTTCTGATAAAATCTACCAGAATAACTGTTTTGCTGCTACAATTGCATTGGCATCGGGGTTTTAGCTGATAGAAATATATGCTGCAAAGATTTAATGGGTGGAAAGACAACACTAACAATAAAATTACACCAGAAAATTTCTACCATAAGTCAAATTTAAGACCGATTTTGCAAACCGGGCTACATTTGTCTCCCATTACACTGATGTAATCAAAATTATTTTTCTTCTTGTTGTTTATTTGAATGCTTAGGAATGATGGAATTAACTTCTGAATGCTGCTGATGGGTGGTACCCAAACACAGGCAGCAGACAATGGCATTTGTCTTTCCTGCCACTGATAAAGAAAAATCAGATTGCCACAGTGTCCTCAGTACTGCCAAACATCTGGAGCAAAGTCTCAGGGCTGCTCTGGGCTTGAACCACTGAAGCTTTTTGTGCTTTCAACGTGCTGTTGAACAAGCTGGAAGTGCCTAGACCTTGGCACTTCCTCTGCAGCAGTTGGACATCTAAAGAATCCAGGCCATTAAATGAATGAAACTGCTGAGATGTGATAACATCCTGACTCAGCCCCAATCACTCCAAAGGTAGGTGTAGTGAGCTGACTGAGCGAGGAGTGAAGTGACCTCTGGGCACAGCAGTGTTGAATCCACTGGGAACATACACACTGTATTTAATCTTTGCTCTCGAGCATTCCTCCCAAAACCCGCTGACCTCAGTAGCAATGTCTACTGTGCTGGATAAACATTCCAAATTTATCATTAAAACCCCTTAAATGTTAAGCATTTTTGTACAACTGTTGGA